GTAACGGCGTGGGAGTGCGGCGCTGAATCCCAACCATGGCCTGGATAGACAATTCTGAGGATGTATCCGGACAAAGAGACATGTTGGGGATACAACCCGCTAGTGATAAGTGCGACCTAAACCACCGCAGTGTGTCTATCACCCATCTCCACCCAAATTTACTGATGCCATGCGGCTAAAGACTGCCACGTTCTACAAGGCTGCTGTGCAATATAAAACTGTGTGATGTTCAGCATGCTAGAGGAGAGGGCTAGAGCCTGCTGCCATGTTACAGGAGACTGCTGCCATGTTACAGGAGACTGCTAGGATCTGCTGCCATGTTACAGGAGACTGCTAGGAGCTGCTGCCATGTTACAGGAGACTGCTAGGATCTGCTGCCATGTTACAGGAGACTGCTAGGAGCTGCTGCCATGTTACAGGAGACTGCTGCCAGGTTACAGGAGACTGCTAGGAGCTGCTGCCATGTTACAGGAGACTGCTGCCATGGTACAGGAGATGCTGGACACACCTATGTATCCTTTATTACCCAGAAGCCCAACCTAGAACCAGCAGTGCTACTTTACTGCAACCTGACCCAGGGCTCCCATGCATCCACTTCTGCTGCCCAATACACACAATGGGAACTCCATTGGCTGAAGCTCTATTTATAAATGTAATTGTACGTATCTGGCTTTGGGCTTGCCATCAGCTTCTTGCAGTCCCTGTGCAGCCAAGCTTAGTCTGGGAGAGGGAGAAGCAGCACAGGGGGACAATCAGTTTGTGCTGGGGTGCTCACATGCTAACAAGGAGCAAGCTGCTAGAAAGAGAGAGCAGGGTGATAGAGAGATGAGCTCATAAGACTGTTGCTGCTTCTTTTAATGTCCAATCAGAGGCTGGGGGAGGGACAAGACCTGTAAGTGTTACTCAACTGCAGCAGAGAAAAATCAGGTCTCCTGCACTGCAAGACAGGGCTGTGCTGTGTGCCAGAGCTGAGTTAATCACAGGACTGGATGGGCAAAAATACAAATCATTCGGCGGGTATTTAGCTGCTTGCCTGGAGTTCAGCGTTAATGTTCCTGTTTGTGGAATTACCGCCCCCTGGTGACCCAAACTGACCCATATGACGGAGTCTTACCTATCAGCGAGTTGAGCGATGAGTAGGAGCTGACCCGTCTCATCTTGTCGATGGTCTCGAAGGACAGAATGTACTCCTCGTTGTCTGGGCTGCCCAAAGTGCTGCTGGCACTACTGCTGGTGCTGAGGTTCCCTGGAGAGAAAGCTACAGGGCCTCCTCCTGGATGAAAAAAAAAAAGACAACACACAGAAGAAATATTACCAGACGATATTACAATCCGGGAAATATCAAACTTGGCAGCTTCTTCCCCCCCCCC